CAAACCATTTCGTTTTTGTTTTTTGATTTTTCGATTTTTTTTTCAGGGTTTCTGGGTAACATCTTGGGTGGGTGGATAAGATCCGGGTTTTTTATTGTAATATTTGTGAATTCCTCAGGGTAAGGCTGTTATGAGATTCCTAGTTCTCAAATAATAGAAGGGGAGCTATGTGATTCCTAATTCGTAAATAGGGACATGAGAGATAAAAACTCTAGTTACGGATGTTCGGTTCTGCTTGTTACACTCGCTATGTTCAAAGAGATAAAGACAAATTTGATCCTCGTAGTCCTCTTTGTGTGTTTGTTGGGTATCCCTTTGCTCAAAAGGGATGGAAAGTCTTCGATCTTTAGACAAATAAAATTTTGATCTCAAGAGATGCTGTGTTCCATTTTGCTTCACGTACTGAGATTTAAGGTTCTCTTACTTATGTTCCTGTTGCAAGTGATGAGGATTGACTTATGTCTACAAAAGATTGGGGGAGTGACGTGCCTCCTACTTCAATTTCTAGTGATGACAACAATATTGATGTCTCAGTTCCGTCGTTACCCTCCTCTGTTCCGGGTTTTGTCGCTCCTCCTGAGTCACCGAAGCAAGTTTCTACGCCATCGTCTCCTACCATTACACCTCTAGTTGTTCCTGTCCCTGAGCAGTCTACAAATATTCATGCAATTGAGCAGAACACACCTGATGCTCCGTCACCTGTCGCACCTACTTCTCGAACTACTGAACCTGCAACTGCTTCACTTCCTCTTGACGAGACACCCGTTGTTTCTGTTCACGCCAAAGATACATCTACTTGTCTGTCTCTTCTGTCGCCTAGTCCTCCTCCTCGTCAAGGACAGCGACCACGTACTATTCCCAGTTGGTTAAATGATTATGTTACTTAGAATGTTGTTTCTACTCCGCTAACAAAAACCCCTCACGCTCTGCCCAATTCTTCTTCAAAGTCCTCGACATCGGTTCAAGGTAATTCGTTTTATTCGTTAACAAATTATATTTCTGATGATGCATTCTCTCCAGGCCATCGTGTTTTCTTAACTGCTATAACAGCTAATGTTGAGCCAAAAGACTTTAAAGAAGCTGTTCGTCTTAAGGTCTGGAATGATGCTATGGGAAAAGAAGTTGATGTGCTACAGCCAGTGGCGGAGTTAGGATTTCAGTTCAGGAGGGTTAAAAATTAAATTGGAGTTTAATTATGTTATTAAAAAAATTTTACAGGGGTCAATTATGTTATTTTACAAGGGTCAATTTGCTATTTGCATTCAGTGGATTTACAAGACTAAATACAATGTCGATGGCACCATGGAACAATATAAATCACGTCTTGTGGCTTTAGGCAATAATCAGAAAGAAGATGTTGATTATAAAGAGTTGTTTGCACCAGTTGTGAAGATGACTACTGTTCGTTCTGTTCTCCGTCTTGTGGCTGCTAAGCAATGGGAAGTTTAACAAATGGATGTCGACAATGCTTTCCTTCATGGTGATTTATAAGAGGAGGTCTATATGAAACTCCCGCCCGGTTTTCGGGCTTCTCAACAAGACAAAGTTTGTCGTCTTAAAAATTATCTTTACGGTCTAAAATAGGCACCACAATGTTGGTTCAAGAAGTTATCTGATGCTTTACTTTGTTTTGGATTTGTGTAATCCTATGAAGATTATTCTCTATTTTCTTACACTATGGCTAATCTTGAGCTTCGTGTATTGGTGTACGTTGACGATCTTCTTATTTGTGGTAATGATCCATACATGATCCAAAATTTTCAAATATTACTTATCATATTGTTTCTCTTTGAAAGATTTAGGGAAGTTAAAATACTTTCTCGGCATTGAAGTGAGCTGAGGACCTGAGGGAATTTTTCTGTCTCAACGCAAGTATGCGTTAGATATAATTTCACACAGTGGTAATCTTGGCTGCCAACCCGCAGACACACCACTTGAGGAAAATCATCGTCTTGCTCTTGACAAGAGTCATGTGCTACAAGATCCTAAGCCATATCGTAGTCTGTTGGGTTTCTTAATTTATCTTACGCACACTCATCTGAGCTGAGTTATTCAGTTCACATTTTGTCTCGGGCTTATTACCACTCTACAAATTCGTACCGGTGATCAAATTGCAGACGTGTTAACAAAGGCGCTTGGTCGTGCTCAATTCCAGTTTCTGTTGTCCAAGTTGGTAATTCATAATTTGCAGTCTCCAATGTGAGGGGGAGTATAACGGGATATATGTTCATATTTTAGGATAAGTTCTATGTTGTATATTGATAAGTCTAAGGGCTATTATTTAGGGGTTTGTATATGTCTCTTCTAAACTCTCGGGTTGTATAAATACCTTTGTATGGTTGATGAATAAATCAAGTCAGTTCAATACCTATTTCTACAAATTGAAAAATAAATGTGACGTTGTGAACCTACTCATGGTTCCTCATTCTATTTTCTATTTTCTTTTTCTTTTTGAAGTTTAGAGTCGTGTTGTGTCAATAATATTCTTCTACTTCTACAGAAAAAACGTTTTCATAGATTTTTTTAATAGCAGAAAACACGATAACAACATCCGCTTATAAGGAACTGGAACTCTACCACATGTATCCTGATATATCGGTTTTTAAAAAAAATCAACAGCTTGTCCTATTTTCATCTTCTCTCCAATATATCATACAATTATCTTCTCAGACATCAATCATCTGATACGGCAAACCAAAACTAGCGACCAACTTCAGAATCTCGTAATATGTACCAGGAAAATGATTGTCTTCAGGGAAAATGTCTTTCACAAAATCAGTTATCATCCACACATTCCTCATCCAAATTGTAATCCGTCTTTGTCGTCATCAATCTGCTCGCAGATGATAAAGCCGAATGACCTTCTCTACATCCTCCATATAATGGCTGCTTTGCTACGTCCAATATAGAAAAAAAAAATTCCCTATACACATCATTTACCATCTGAACAGTACCTACACCAAAATCTACTTCTGTTCTAAGTTCCTCTATGCTATCAACAATATATGGTTTGCTAGAACTATCGTACTCGGGTCTTTCACCATGGAGAAACCAAATCTTGTAACCCGGTATAAAACCATTGGGATAAAGGTGACCCCATACTAAATCAATCCTAATATTATGAGAATTCTAACAATGCAAACATGGACATTTCAACTTACTAGTTTTTTTGGCGCTCGATTGTTGACAAGCTATATCCATCAATTCTCCTACACCACGAGCGTACTCATCTCTCAATTGATTCGACTCCGGATCGAGCATTGGTTTTTCCATCCACGATCGAAAGTAATATGAAGATGACATTTTTTATATTTTTCTCATACATTAACAAGCGAGATGGTAAAAATGAGTTGCTTGGGTATTTAAGGTGAAAATAAATCACGTGTCCGTCAATAATTTTTTGCTAATCCATTGGTTATTCGAAAAATTTAAATGACTATAAAACGGCTACATTAACATATATATTTATCGACGGATTTCCGACAAATTATCAGTAATATTGAAAGATAACTAACGGATTAATGACGATGGAAAATCCTTGTTATATAATCGACGGATTACCGATGATTACATATTCCGTCTATAATTCGTCGGTATTCCGTCAGTAATTACCGACAGAATTATGTTCGTCGAAAAGTCTGTTGGTTACAACCTTGTTTTCTTGTAGCACCTATCACAGCTTTTGCTCTAGTTTTCCATTAGACAGTTCCAACTACCAAAGGATAATACGAACCAAGCCGTCGCATAAAATATAAAGGCCTCAACCTTAACGTCTTTTTTGAACTATTTTACCACTAGACTAAGAAGAACTTTTGAAAATTTGGGGGCTGAAAAGTTATATATTATTTGAGGGCCACAAACTCATGTTTCATGAGCTTGTGTATAGGGCCGGCTCGGTACCGCTGATACATACAAGGAACAAAAGATGGAAACTAACTAAATTTGCTTAATATTGTATTGTGAAACCACCTGTACATAAAATAAATTACAACACTTACAATTTGTAGTGGACGATGGATTACTCGGAAATATATTTGATTCGATTATGTTCATGATTAGAGTGTCACACACTAATTGTATTTTTGTAGCTACATAAATGTCACTAAACTTTTACAAGTCCTAGTCATCGCCGGTTTAACCATCGGTTTAAGGGTTTTAGATTGTCGGTTCAACCATCGGTTTAAGGGTTTTAGATTATGTGCATTGCAAACATTATTCAACATCCTACTTTTTCACTTTTAAACACTCCATATCATTTTCTCTTTCTTCCCCGTAAGCATTCAACATCCATCTAAATTCTAAACACTACAAAATAGTTTGTTTACAAAAATCAACACTCTACCCCACTATTTTTATTTCATATGTTTATTTTCTTATATATTTTTATTTTCATGATTGCATATTTATAATAAACTGATAAAATTAAGTTAAAATGGCATGAGCGGGCCAAAAAAAAAATTCTTTCAACATGTTGCATCGCTGAATCCACGTAGATTTTCCCAGTTTTTTAACAGCCTTATTGTAACGGTTTACCAGTTGAATTTATCAGCTCCAATGCAGAGTCTTTTTTTTTGTTGTCACCATTGGGCCACAACTGGCTGGCCCATTACCCTAATCCCTATAAATATGTAGGGAACGGCACTCGATTACTCAGTCTTATCTACGCATTTTTTGGTTATATCCGAGTTTTGTAACATCATGATAAATCGATTTAAGAAAATGTATGTTTTTTGGTTAAAAAATGTATGTTTGAAAATATATAAGAAATTATTTGAAAATTAGGAAGTAAATAATAACTCAATCAAATTATATTTTTTTTAATAATAAACAATATTAAAAATTGTAATACTATTAGTTTCTTATTAAATTGTAATCCTAATATCAAAATAATTGTTTTCTATTTATTTGTTGCACCCACATATACTCGATTTGGAGCAATCCTTCAGAATTTTCTTAAACTTTGCACAATATCACGTGATTAATGTTTACTCCTTTCCGATTAAAAAATATATATATATATAGAGTTGACAAAACAAACACAACAAAATTAAGCACAGTAGAGGCCAAAACGTGTGCATGTGCACATTCATAATTCCCTCTCAAGTCATTTATTATCATACTTAAATAGTACACACCAAAAATCGAATTCAATAACAAATGGCCACATATTGACTTGTTTTGATTTAGCTAATCTCTTCATGTTCTACACTCTTCTTCTCTTCTTCTTCAAACATCTCACACATGAGTCTTTGTCTGGCCTTTTTCGCCTGCACATATATCAATCAATACACATCAGTTTCTCTTAATACTAAGTTAAACCCAAAGAAACAAGAGAGGGACACTTAGCACTCTAACTTTATAACTAACCTCTTGTTCCCAGTTGGTGAGGATAACAATAAGACTGAGCAAAAAAGCTTGAACAAAGGACCCAACTGTGATCCCAATCCAGAGTCCTCTTCCTCTCATTTTGAACCCAAAAGCTAATATTATTGCAGTTGGTACACCACAGAGATAGTATGCTGCTAGGTTTACATAAGCCCCTATATCTTGCCTCCCTGATCCTCTAGCCACACCTGCACTTTCAATAACCCCTCTTAGTTAACCACATTATTAATCCTTAAATGAATTTGACATTATTATAGAAGGGGAATCTAATCTAACCCGCAAGAACCGCGTGAAGGGCATCGAATATGACCGATAAAGAAACCAATGGAGCCAGTGTTCTTACATAATCCACAACTTCGGTTTCAGAGCTGAATAGGTAACCAAATACGTTTCTTGCACCAAATACTATTGCGCTCACCATTATTGATTCTACACATGTAATGACCATTACTGTGTACACAGCTATTCGAGCTTGTTTCGGATTCCCAGCTCCTAATTCGTTTGCAACTCTTGTACTGCAACAACAGAGAGATGTTTTAGATAGATACTTGCCATTTTAAAAACTCTTGTAGTGCAACAACAAAGAACCTTGCTGCCGCGCCGAGACTCTCTGCTATTTGGTATAAGATGGCGACTGTTGATAGACTGTTCAAACAAAGAAGAAAGCAACTGAGTTTGTATATGATATTTAATAGTCCATTCCAAAAGCAACTTCTTTAGAATACAAAAGGAACATACCAGACTGAGAGAACAGAGGCTTCTAGCTTTGGATTTGGTAAAAGACCAGATAGTAAGAGTAGAAATTCTAATGACCACCACTCAAGGCTAATTCAACACCAAAGAGATTCAACTAAAGTCAAATGTCAAGAACTTTGTGACTAAACTAAAAGAGGCATGAAGAGTATATTCAAAATTACCAAATCATAGAGGCAGATGGGATTCCAAACCGGAAAAACTCTCCCATTCCTCTAAACACACTCATGGAGATAGTTGCACGGGTCTTGCTACAGCTAGAAGAAAACTTCATGTACAAGGCAAGCACAATCACATTTAGCCAGTAAGAAACCCCGACCGAAATAGCTGCACCATGGCTCCCAAGCCCAAACTTAAAGACCAAGCTCCAGCAAAGGACAACATGGACACAAAGAGCAGAGATTGAGCTTATAATCATAGGATAAATCAGACTCTGCGCTTGGTAAAACCGAACAAGCGACTGCAAAGTAGCGTAACCAAAGAGCGCCGGTATGAGCCAAGTTGCAAACTTTCCCGCTTGTTTAGCAACAAGAGGATCTTGTCCAGTAAAGGAGAGTATATCACCCATGTAAGTCCATAGCACAGACAAAGGAATACACACAAGAAACAAAGAAATGATCCCTGTGTACGTATGTACTCCAAGCTTTTCGAACTGTTTAGCTCCGTGAGCTTGGCCACATAAAGTCTCCAATGCACTAGCCAATCCAAACTGTATGGTCACATACAATACAACAATCAAAATTTATAAGTTTAAAGGAAAGAGAAGGAGATCAAGAAAGAGACATACAACGACGCTGAAACCGGTGACGCTGCAGAAAGAAACGGCAATGGCGGTGCTAGAGAGGAAAAGCTCACCAAGATGACCAACCATCATTATTGATATCACAAGAAGAACGTACGAAGACGAGTTCACTGCAACCATGGGACCAGCGATGTAACAAAGCCTTTTCATCTCCTCAAAGAGCACATCTTTCTTGTTTACATCTTCTCTGTGGCTTACGACAAGCAAACTCTCCTCCGCCGAACCCATTTCTTTTTCTCTGCTTCTAACCTGAGAATGAGATCTTTAGATCTTTGGCCTCCTCTCTTCTCTCAATCAATCCTATGCTTTTATACTAATAAAGAAAAAAAATAAAACAACATATCTCTTTGTTGACCTCTCATCCAGAAAAGGATTGCTCCTCGTGTTGGATCCAAAGAATTTTTTTTTTACTGGAGTCAAAATAATAAATACATTTTAATTAATTAAAAATTTTAAGGTTAAATTTTAGGTTTTTATATTTTTTTTTTTTTGAAAATTAAAAGAAACTAACAATAATTTTTCATTTTAGTAGTATTACTTAGGCATGTCAATCGGGCTGGCCCAGCCCAAAACCCGTAAAGCCCTCATATATTTGAGTCCGGTCCGGTCCAAAAAACATCTGATCCTATATTTCTAAGTCCGGTCCGGCCCTAACAGGGTTACAAGGCTTTTCGGGCTTTTAATTTTGGGCTTTACTTACAGATAAAAAAATCAACTTCTAAATTCATAATAGTTTTTTTAAAAAACAATATTTGAAAGTATACTATAAGAAGAATGCATCAAATTTTAAATAACTCATCAATATTCATTAAAAATAACTTAATTTCAAAGAGAAATAAATGAAAACCAAATAAATTGTTTACACTTTAACCCAATAAAACATGAAACTAAAATACTTTAAAGTAGATTATAGAGTCAAAATTTCAGATACTTCATGATTTCAAAATCAAGATACTTAGAGCAACCACAATGGGAGAGACTCATTGTGGGTTCTTTCCATTTTTTTTAATATAAATTTTGAAAAACTTTAGATGAAGAGTTTGTGATGGGGTTTTTATATTTATTGTGTTACAATGGTAAGAACCTAAAGGTTCTTGAATTTTTTTTAAAATTTAATTATTAATTTTTGTTTTAATATTTGCATTTTATTAATTCTTAAATAAACATAACTTTTAAAAAATATTTTACATTACATAGAAGCAAATATAAAAACAAAAAGCATACAAGAAAATAAAAACATTAATTATGTTGATTACTTCCAAACTTCTGCCATATATTCTCGACCAAGTCAACTTTCAATTGTTGATGTATTTTGCGATCACGAACGCGACTCCGCATGACCATCATATTGCCAAGATTTGTCGGCATATCTGTTTCGTAACTGTAATCCACATGTGAAGTTCTATGTGCTTCAACTTGTGTGAATTCTGAAACATTGAACTGTGTGTACGTGTCTCGTTCATCTTCAACTATCATATTGTGCAAGATGATACATGCTCTCATAATTTTACCTATTTTTTCTTATCCCAAAAAAGAGCCGAGTTTTTCACAATCGCAAATCGAGCTTGCAAGACTCCAAATGCACGTTCGACATCTTTACGGACAGCTTCTTGATGTTCAGCAAATAAACGTGCTTTTGGACCTTCTGGAAGTGGAATGGATTGAATAAATGTGGCCCATTTAGGATAAATACCATCAGTGAGATAGTAAGCCAAGTCATACCCGTGGCCGTTGACAACAAATTTACGTTTGGAGCTCGACCCTTAATTATATCATCAAAAATAGGTGAACGGTCTAGAATATTTATATCGTTTAAGGTACCTGGAGGTCCAAAAAATGTGTGCCATATATTTTGTTTAAGCTTTATTCAGTTTTGACATATATAAATATAGAAAATGTCATAGATAAAGATTTTAAACTATTAAATAAGGCTAGTAAGTAAATATGAAAACTAATTCATTAATCAAATCTTCTAATCAAACTAAAATATTTTTAAAAAATCAAAATTTATTTGTTTAAGGGCTTTTCGGGCCGGTCCGAGCCCGACCGGGTTAAACTCAAACAACGCTTTAGTCTGAATGGGCTTAGCCCAAAAGGCCCGGTTTTTTCTGGACATATATATTGAAGTCTGAGCCCGATGTTTTTCAGGGCCGGACCAGACCAGTCCGCGGACTTTAACCCTAATTGACATGCCGAGTATTACAATATTAAGAATGAAGTGTATATTTCTAATAAAATAATTTAAAAAATAAATTTGTATTTAAGAACTACTATGGAAAAATTAAATTAAAATAGATGAAGTAACGTAATAAATAAAAATCAAAAATTAAAATTAATGAATTTTAAATAAAAAAGAAAACCACTTATATTTATGAAAACTAAGAAACAACATAAAAAAAAATTACAGACACCTAATTGGGGGTATTTTAGTACCTTTTCAAAAAAATATCTTATATAAGATTTTTCTTTGAAAAAATGGAATATCTTAACTTCCTAAAATACCCCCGATAAAAATGCTCTTCGAATAGATTGTTTTTACCTAAGAAACTAGAAAGACAAACAAAAAGTAAATAAAAAACCAGTATTATGGATACGTAATAATATAAGATATTAAGAAAATTTTTATCCTACGATACTTCCAAGTCCCAATAATGATTCCTTTGACTAACTAAAAGAAACTTGCAAACATAAGTTCCTAAGCTGTTTCGAACCGACATAAGGCAAACAGACAACTTTAACACACCACTTTACACTTTTAATAGCTTACAAATGAATTATTTTCCTAGCTTACAACTGACCCTACTTCTTTCCATGTAGGTCCGCCAAGAATGAAACATATTCTGAAATCGATAAAAACAAAAAAGTTATAAAGTATATAACATATGATAATTTTACCCTTAAATTCATATATATGTACTAATATTTGTCACATCTTCATCATTCTATGTTTTTGTGGTTCAATAGCTTTTATTGTTTGATGAGTTCTGTTTTACATTAACGTTGAATTTAAAAAGAAAACACAAAAAAGAGACGATTGTTAGTTCTTTGTTTTGTAGTTTGGATGACATCTAAGTTGGTAAACTGACCCCCTTCTTTGCATGTCGGTCCGCCAAAAATGAAACATATTTTTGAGAAATTCTTACTAATAACCTTTTTATGATACCCTTTAGCAAAACTACTTTTTTTTGGCATTTTCATTTTTTTCCTCTTAAATTTTAATGGTCATTTTACCCCTATTTGAAAGGAATATTCCTTCCAAAAATTTTCCCCCCAAAAATTTTCCGCCAAAAAAATTTCCACAGAAAAAAAAATTTCGAAATTTTTCCCGCCAAATTTTTTTAAAGGGTTTACAAGGATGTTTAAAGGGTTTACAAGGGTTTTAAAGGGTTTACAAGGGTTTTAAAGAGATTTACAAGAGTTTTTAAAGGGATTTACAAGAGTTTTTAAATGGTTTTTAAAGATTTGTAATGATTTTTAAAGGGTTTTAGACGCTTACAAAGGTTTTTGAATGGTTTTTAAAAGTTTTTATAAGTTTATAACAGTTTAAAAAGGATTTACAAGGATTTTTAAACGACTTAAAAAATTTACAGGGATTTTTAAAGGTTTTTAAAAAGAATTTACAAGTGTTTTTAAAGGCATACAAGGATTTAAAAATGGTTTTAAAAGGATTTACAAGGATTTTGAAAGATATTTACAAAGATTTAAAAATAGTTTTAAAGGATTTATAAGGCGTTTAAAGGGTTTTAGAAGTTTACAAAGGTTTTTAAAAGGTTTACAAAAGTTTTTAAAGGTATTACAAGTTCTTTAAAATGGTTTTTAAGGACTTACAAGAGGTTTGAAAGGGTTTTAGAAGTTTACAAAAGTTTTTATTAGCGGATCTATCATGGTTATAAGGGGTTTAAAGGGGTTTACAAGTGTTTATAAATGTTATAAAATGATTTACAATGGTTTTAAAAGATTTACTCAAGTTTTAAAAGATTTTGGATGACTTTTAAAAGATTTTAAAGGGTTTTAAAGGATTTTTTTAAGGGATTTAAAAATATTTACAAGGTTTTTTAAAAGGTTTTTAAGGAATTGAGGAAACATTTTAGAGAGAAATTTTTCAGAAGGAATATTATTTTTGCTGGAAAGAATATTCATTTCTTCATCATGTGCTATAATAAAAGAGGGTACATTGAAAAGAGTATTTTTGAAAATGGACACATAGAGACGGTACTTGTAGAAAAAGGTACCGTAAAAAGGTTAGTTGTGCAAATCCCCCTTCTAAATTCTTTGTCGATAAAAAACAAAAAGTAAGTTATAGTTTTACTAGGATTTACTCCGTGGTACCATAATTTATTATATTTGTTTGGTTAATTATTTTCGTAGTTGGTTTATACGTGTTTATTTTATTTTAATTTTATATAATTTTATGAATTTGTATTATAAGTAGATTCATAGATATATGTGGTCAACCCGCAATACACCGCTGGACGATTTTGTTATAAATAAAAAATTATATTTTAACTAAACCCGTAAAAGATTTTAAATATAGACAACCCGTAAGAAAAATATAATCATATTTATGTAAACTCAAACCCGTTCAATCATATATATGTACAATATTATCATATTTTAAATATTTTTAGAGTTAAAATATTAATAATACTTTAAATCTTGAAGAGTATATTTTTTAAATATGGGGAAATTTCAAAAATACCCCTTTTCATATACCTCTTTTTAAAAATACCCCCTTTTCAATCTTTATCAAAAAAAACTACTAAAAATGTTGAAATTTATCAAAATATGTATATAATCTTATAAATATATAAACAAATGACTTTTGTATGTGTAAAAAACTTTATATATCTTTCATAAATAACGTAAAAATAACTTATAAAAACCTTATATATCCTTTTAAAAATCTTATAAAACTTTTAAAAACGATTTAAACCATTTAAAACATTTTAAAATATTTGTATCGAATCTCCCAGTAGTAGTTATTATATAGAAGTACCTTATAAACTATATAAATCTTTATATATAATTGTTTATATTTAAACAGGGGTATTCTTGAAAATATATAGATAAAGGGGGTATTTTTTAAAAAGGTTACACCAAAAGAGGTATTTTTCAAAACTTCTCATTAAAGTATATGATTAAATGTGTTAGATATTTGGTTTAATAAAAGATAAATATTATAATTAAAAAATAAATGCTTAATGGACCAATAAGTAGAGAGTGAAACCTTGAAAATTCTCAAAGAATAACTTTATTTTAATCTCTTTTTATATTCCTCCTAATTTAAGTTATATCTCTATGTTCAAT